TCTTATTTCTCTTCAATGAACAGATAGTAATTCAAATTACTGTGCACACTTCTTTTTAACGATTGTAAAACAAATAATGTCTTAAATTTTTCTTAATTCGCCATTAATAATTTATATTATTGCACAATTTATCGTCCCAGTCATCGATCGAGAAAAACTCTCTGATTTGTTCTACGCAGTAAAATCTCGATCTACGGCGAGAGCGAAACACGTCAGTAGTTCAGCTCTACGGATATCGCCACGGGCAAGTGGAAAACTAGCGGAAGGAAGTCAGACCGCTCGTTCGACGATCGCGATATGCAACGCGCACGTGGCATTTCGACGACGCCGATCGTCGCGGAACACGATCTTACGCCACACTTTATTTACGCTGGTGTCGTGACCGCTGGCGGAAATAGCGCACTTTTATCTTCACGAGAATCTTCGCAAGAAACTTACCTCGCCCCGGATGCGAACGGTCCATCGGCAGCTGCGAGGGCGTGCCATGCGGAAAACCATCCCTCGCCGCGAGACGAGCGGAAACTTTTCAATCGAGTTTCTTGTTCGGGGCGGCGACGTCTCGTCTCTTCACTTCTCTTCCCCGCATGCTAGCCTCGTTACGGGCTTTTTATTTTCGTCTTTTTGTTCCTGCAGCTCGTCCAGCCGGAACGAATCAGCGGCACTGAAGAAATCTCGATCGCGAGATTGTCGCGGAAAGCTTGATCGAACAGATTGATCTCGTCGCATTCTTGCAAACGTGAAACGTGTTCGCACAAGTGTTGTGCGACTTGTTAAACTTTAAGCCATAATGCTAAAAAGGAATACAAATTTTATCTCAGATAGATCAAATTTGTATATTGTGATGCTTGAAGAATTTGTAAAGCTTTATAAAGCTTTACAATATATGTCAAAATGACGTTTACGTTTTTTAATTATTATTTTATACAATAATGTATTATATCCAAATCGATGTCGTAAATATTTTATAGTAAAAATAAAAAAAGTCTAATACAATTCTAACAAAGTTTTCTCAATAAGAATGAGAATAATTTACACTTACTTAAAAATTTCATTTTGCGTGCCAAAGATAATTCCGAATTGCGCACACGTGTGTTCATTCCGAAAATTTCTATGGTAATGCAAAATTTCATCTCGATCGAACAAAGAAAACGAAGATCACGTCTCTGGAATATTTTGTGACATTGTGACACGTTTATCGAATTACAAGTGACTTGCCGGGAGCAATCAAACCCATTTGTTGCAGGGTTGAAGTACATTATTAAATAACTATAATTAATTGATTACATCTGCGAGCAATCTTTCGTGGTATAGATTGCAGCGCCAATTAAGTGCAGCGCAATAGTAACGCAATTGCATAGATTAACAATCAAGCGTCACGTTTCACCGTATATCCTGTATATCACTTGATAAATAAGATAAATAAAACAGCACGGGAACGGTATTACTTCGCGAACTCTGTAAACAGGCACAATCAATAAATGTATACCTAAAAAGTAAGAGAACGAAATAAAATCCGCACCGCCGAGACAATCTCAATTCTACGCTCCCGAGAGAATTGAGAGTGCCATAAAGCAGTTCGAACGGAGCGGCAGATTAATCCTGCGGCGCTGATATATGTACATGGGTCATTTGAAAAGTTCTCGGAATGAGATAGAAAAAGCGATTTAAACCTTTAGAAAATTATTTTTATTTTTTAATATAATCTAACTTGGATCAACGATGCTCCAAAATCGTTATATTATAAAACCAATTTATTAAAGCCTGAAAAATATTAATTAAGGCATTTCTTTATTTGAGAAAAATCACTTTTCAGAAAGAAATTTTATTGATAAGAATAGATGAAAGTCGGACGGAGCTAAATCAGGCAAATAAAATGAATATGACAGCAAATCGTATTAAAATAACACTTCTACAGAGAAGCGCATTGTCTTATTGTTAGCAAATGCGGCATTCATTTTGCAGAAAGTTTTTTTTATACACAATTTGTATGTTCAGATATGGAATGAGAGACCTTTACTCAGCGATTCTTTAAAATATTGATGTCATTTAGCCTTTATTTTCAGAGAACTCTCAATATATACTCTTCAAGTAATCCAATATTAACATAATTAAGTCTATCGCGAACGGTAGAGGCAAAGCTTATTTTAAGGAAATGATCAGACGATCCGGTGTAACCGAAAATTCGGCATCTCTTATCGGATGCAGCAGGCTGAAGTTAATTGTGACTGCATTGGGATCAACTCGTTATCTTCACGGCGCATGAATCAATCGGCTACCAATCGGTCGAATAATTCTCTAACTCACAGTTCGTTCACTGATCACGGCGAGCATTAAGCATCTCAGTCTGGTGCATTTAAACGGCTGCACGAATCGGTGAATCGGTTCTTCGATGAGGGACTGTAAATGATTAAGTGCGGCAGGGCGCGCGTTCTTGATCGATGCTCATCTGAATAGTGCTTCCTATTGAGGAACGTAATCGCTGTTGAGCTGAGTGAGCGTTAGTCGGGCGTTTTGATATAAACGTTCTCAATAGACCGGGAATAGAATGTTTCAATATAAATTGAAATGCGATTGAAATGTATACACACGATATATACCGTGGATTTGAAGATTTCGACGAATATTAAGAGTCTGAAATGCTTTGAAAACTCTTATCTCTAAAATATTATAATTTACTAATATTTTTTAATCTATAATCCTCTCTGAAATATAATTTGTTAATATTTTTTTATCTATAATCCTAATAAGTTTGAGAAAATTCTGCTCGCATCATGTTCCACTTTTGAAACCATTAAAGTTTTATCGTAAAAGTCTAACCAAGATATTTTTATTTCGCTTCTAGTAGATTACTTCAAACACGAAACACTCGAGAGAAATAAAACTTTTTGATAAAATTACTTATTCGCGAAAATCGAATTATCATTGTCCGAGGAAAAAATTATCTCCTTAACTCTGATATTTCAATTTCAGCTCCTATAAAATTCTACTTCTGTCATATTCACAAGGTCGCTTTGTTTTCTCTAGTTGATTCTGAACGCGACAAAGATTATATTTTCGATTCGTGATTTTCTGATCTCTAGATTTCCAGATTCCGAATTAAGATATTTTTAAGTTTTATATTTTAGTACAAAGACCTTTGTGAATATTCGGGATTAAGATTCCGTTATTTTTATTTATTCCGAATATCTAGGATGACGAAAACTTTTATTCACTCGTTCTAATTTTAATGTCACTTTCCTGTTCTTTTGACACATTTAAATTGGCACGACAGAATGAACATGTTATCGGATATCGTCATCAATTCATTATATCATTCCAAAAGTAGCGACGTTTGATATGAAAATCGAATCGTCGATATGAAAAAAATAGCGCGCACTCTCGATTCATGTGTGCGATCGGAAATAGGAGGCTAAAAAAGTACCAACGATGCCTCTATATCGTTGATCCGAAATGCCACCTGCGCGTGCCATAATACATTACTTAACGGCGAGTCACGTTTTTCCTGTTCACTCACTACGCTCTCAGATGTGCAACGCATCGTACGTGTTCGACGACCGGACGGCAGAGCCGAGGCGCGCGGAAGACTCGTAAAATTTCATGTCAATGGCAGTAAAAGTTAACGACTTTGTTGAGTTGTTATTACACAATCCAGTAGAATGATTTTATTTATGTAATAGGCCTCGCCACCGATAGCCATTTTTCTGTTATAAGAAATCGTAAAAAAAATGGAGACTTTAAACACAAATCGAAATCTCTCAGTCCAAAGACAAATCTCTTAAGTAAGTTTGAAAGGTGTGATGTGACTCAAGCAAACACATCTACACACGTTTGTAATTTTATGAGGCACGCGTAATGATCGCGTTAATAATGCATTCGCGCTTACATTAATGCCGCGCTCGTTCGACAGAATTCATTGCGTTCCGTCCGTTCTTGTACTCGCATCTTGCCGATAATGCGACTAGTAAATTACTACGTGCAATTAATCGCGCACGCGGCGCAATGCTCGCGCCGGATTTTCCGTGGCTGTTTATTTGCCGCGCTCTCCGACATCGCCGAAAACACGACGCGACCAGTGAGGCAGCGACCGTTTTGCAGGCTGCGCTTTAGCCAGTGCAAATAAACGCATGCGTTACGTGTCCTCCAGTCCTTAGGAGTAAGTAATTTCGATGTCACAGCCGGAACTGCAAAGGGATGGTAATGGGAGGGTGGGAGGGGAAGGGAGACCGCGAGACCTAGACGAGCGCGAGAGTTCCACAGCGCGCTACAACTTCTGCTCCCTGTCTCGAAATATGTTATAGCATAATGTCATGAAACTATAGCAATCGCAATATCGTCCTAGTTCGGGACGAAGTGCGTCTGTAACTTATTTCCCGACGCGTTGACTGCCGACTGTCGTGCATTCGTTATCATTCGTTTTAAATGCAAATCCGCTGGCTGCAATCCCGCGCTAGCATTGTGGTTATTTGTACGACGCGTCACGGCGTGTCATCCGCGTGGTAAAGTGGAATTTTCAGCACTGACCTCAAAACGCGAATTTCATTTCTTTGTACAGCGGCTTTTAAAACACGCGCGTAACGGAGCAAAAGTGCGATTGTGTGTTTGTTTCATTGCATCGAGATGCAAACCACGAAATGTGCGCGGACGAGAGAAACATCGACTTTACTTTTCGAACACCTTAAAATGTTATATTCTAAAAATGTTTTCCGCATTCTATTTTACGCAGGTTTAAAACTCGCCACAAGAATCGTCAGAACTGCCTTTGCAGAAAAATGATTATCTTAATTTCTGCCAGAGAATGTCGTATGCAAAATAGTTCTGTAGGATTTCTAAAAACATTTTTTTTTTTAAATTATCTTACTACATCCAGTTTTCGTGCTTAATTTCGTATACTTTACGTAAGACCATTGTCGAAAGATGCTTACACTGCGATTTATCAACTTTCTCGCGCAAATAAGTCGAATCGATTAACGCTCTTCTATTTGTTTCCGTTTTTCTTACAGACCAGATGAGCGACGTCTGCAAGAAATACTTCATGCGGGATCTCTATAGGAAGATAGACGGCGCCGTTCTTACCTCGCAAAATGAGAGGGACCTCGATTGCGCCATTACTTTCCAGACTCATAGCATCCTCCAGCGGTTCATGCTCCGATTCGATCAGCTGCAGTTAGATTGCAACGACCATCTCTACATCTACGATGGCGCGCATGCGGTCGGCAGTTACAAGGTAAGTCGCTCATGAAATCAGAAAAATGAATAACGCATGTGTGTTAAAGGATATTATCGAGCAGCTTGCGGCTGTGTGTTCGGCCTTCGTCGCGAATTATCTTGATAAGACATCTCACGTTTCCTTAATGGATTTCGATTGAAAAGATAACAAACACGGCCAGCGATATACAGAAAGAAATTAATGGCGGAGAAAAATTAAATTTTGCGATTGAAATCTGTATAATTTTGATGACCATAAATTTCGATTCTAAGTGCACACGAAAATGGTTTCTGTATGCTTATTCGGAACGATAAGAATCGAAAAGATTGACTTGAAGCTTTTTCGTTTCGATGTTCTTACAGTGTTGTAAATTGAACACAGTAAAATTATTCTGTTTTCAAATTTTCAGATTACATTACATTGTATTTAATATATAATGTTAATTATGGAATATTTAAAAACGCGCCGATATTGGTAGCTTTTGTTAATACGCGGACAAAGTGTCTGATACCAACTTTTAGCGATTTATTTCGAAACAAAACGCGACAGGTTAATTTGAATAGACGAGTCAACGAGCGAGCAGTATCTCAACACTAGATCGCCTCGAGACGAAAGAATCGGGTCAAGGCGAGATCGAGATGACATTGGTACGCGCATAAGGCATATATTTTTATGCAAAACTAACGAAATTTATTGATGTGCAAAATTTATTAAGCGACGTTTGTTCTGTCGATCTGGCTAGATTATCGGCTATCTCGAAGTTTCTCAAAATTGACATGCGTTATCGTATATGGATCGTTTTCATACCGAAACCACTTTATTACTTAGTTTGTAGAAAATGAGAAATATTTTTATTTTTTTATTTTTGAAAAATCTAAACAAATATATGTATTGTAGACATATTGATTTGTTAAGAAAAAGTCAATTTTACGATTAACTTGCCTGAGTTTTACGATGATTTAATAAATACATTAATTAACAAATTATTTAACGATAAATAAGTATATTAAATCTGCAAATGATATAAGCGCACTAGGATATCATTTTTCAATTAATTCGCGATGAATTTTATTGCAGTGGAAGTTCCATGCAGAAGTTAATTATTAATCTACTTAACAGTATGGAAGTGTTTAAAGGATCAGTTGGGAGCCATTAAAACGCGGCAATTTGCGCAGAAATTGCTGCGTGGCTCGTGTTTCAATAGAATTTGTAAGAGATATTAAATGTGTTACTACACACATGAATCGTATGAATTCTATCTCGTTGTTAGAGCAAAAATTTCGAAATACAAGTGTGTTATCTGGAGATATGATTAATTTTTATATCCGGTGTTATTTCTGCCCAACTATTTATGACGTAATGAAAAATCGTGCGTCAGAAATATTTCATTTTATCTTCAGACAGCTATGATTTTAAGACGTTTTTTTTTCCATTGACGAGAAACCTGCTTTTTATGTAATATACTCTCTCGCGACGAAATGTAAAAAAAATTAAAGGATAAAGGTTAATTGCATGCGGGTATGCTTTTTATACATATCTGTAAAAAAAAGTCCTTTGAGTGTACTTGGATCATGCCGAATATGTGGGAAGAGTTTTACTGTTTCAAAAGAATGAGGATTTCTCTCTTGTTTGAGGAATGTTTCGCGAATATCGACTCGTTAAAATTCGTATTGTAACATTACCATAAATTTTAGACTGGTGTTATTACCAAAAGCGTGGTAAAAATATGAATTACGTACCAATGCGGACGAACTTTATCACATTTTTCTTCCATTAGGGAGATATAATGGGCAAGCAATTTAGGGATTCTTCATCCCTAATCTTTTCAGGATTAATTCGATTCTGTAAACGCGCAGAACGAAGACATCAACGGTCGAAAGAAAGCTCCACGGTAAACGACTTCATTCAGCGAATCGGCCATTAACGGAAGGTCGTGACTGACATTGTACTCGCGTATAACGTTTACGGTTCGCCATGACAATTTTTCTTGGGCTTCTTTAACGATTGGCGTGCGCAGCCGATGCATTTCTCGCGTGTGTTCGACGAGAGTCGACTTAATTGCCCTCATCGATCAAAGACACCGCACTAATTGCGAGGAGAATGATGTTATTTTTCCACGTTCAAGATGATACTGCCAAAAACAAAAAGGGACAAAAGAGAAGGAAGGGGGAAATGGGAGAAAAAGAGAGAAAGGGGAAGAGGAGAAGAGAGAGGGGGGAGATGGCTCTTTCTCTCTAGTTCGTCCGCAAGGTTGAATTTTAATGTATTCCACCCATTATGCATTCCGAGCATGGCCGGCGCGCGACAGAGTAGCGGAAACTTGCGCCATTAATCAAGATTCGTTTCTTGAGAGAGGGATGCGAGCGGATTCAGTTCCGCCGTTGTCTCAAATTTTCTCCTTCGATTTTTCGTAATCGAACCGTGATATACTTCCGCAGAATCTTGATTAAAGTGTGTACTTTTTGCAGAGTTCTTTAAAAATCGCAATTTTGTAAAGAGTGTTCCATAAATGTTTTTCATTTTAAACCACGTTAAAAAAAAAAAAAATATCAAAATTTTTGAATATATTTGTGGTTCTCGTAAAATATAAATATTATTGCTATATATTCATGTATTGTTTTTTTTATTGTCAAATTATACAGGATTTTCGAATTGATACATTTGATAAACAGAACGACATTTTCATGAAAAAAAGCTTCATATGAAACATGGTGTTTTATTCTGTTTTAACTATCTACTGTAAATATTAATTCTTCTCTCTGTATTAATCAGGAAAAATCGAATGAACGCAATGTCGATGATTGCAACGTTTTACAGCATTTCACGCGTACTTTCGCGATTTGAGTGGAATGTCGCGACGACATATTTTCCGAGTCGGCTAACATTCCCTGAAAAATGAATTCATTTTTTACGGTTCACCCCCGTGCATCTCGTGGATGCGTATTCGAGCGCGAGCGTGTTTATTTATTAAGTGCACTCAATTACGCGTCCGCACCGGTCGTAAACAACGCCTTCGTTCGCAGCCCGGCTGCAATACAGGGTGGCCTAAATTCATGGAATCCAATCTCTATATATAAAATTTGCCTAAATAATGTAGTAAAGTATATAGTAATAGACATGTAAAAACTTCTATAATTATTTGTAAAAGAAATGTCTTAAAAATGTTGTAACTTGATTAGAAAAACTATCTGATTAAAAGAACTATCTGAAGTATCTTTGTTTTATTAAGTAAGGACTAATTAATTTTTTACACAATTGCAATCTCTGCGGAAAATTTTATCTCAAAATGACGTACAATAATCTTAAATAATATTATTGTCTAATATTATCCGTAGAAATAAAAATATTTTGCTGCGCCAGCTATATAATTTTTAACATAATTTAAAAATTGAAGCACAATGCTTATTTCAATAAAGATGTACGCCACTGATAAGAGATAAATCGCTACAGACAATCACAAACTTCACTGCTGAAATATTGGTCTCATTCTGATCACCCTGTGTGTTTTCGCCGCGCGATATTCATGGCTTTCGAAACGCGGGAAGGTACGATCTCGCGCATAATTTACGAAAAATAAATGACGTAGCGGCGTTATAGTCAGCAGAATATCTTTCTAATTTAAATTATCTCGGGTACTTTTCGCCGCGTATTACGCGATACGCAAACGTGCAGTTACGAGTGTGCGGGAGTGTGTGTGCCGCTGACGTGCGCGAAGCGCATAGATACACGTGTGATGCAGGGCGGAGAGCCAGAGAGCAATGCAATTTTGCATAATGGCGCTTTAACTTTAATCTTTTTTACGACTTTCGTAATGGGCCGTTAAGCGTGCCTTTTTATTGCGTTGCTTTCTCCTTATTTTTAAATATGCCACCCGTCTTCTCGCTGACAAACTTCTTCTGTTAATGTAACTTACAATTAGTCTTTTTTGCAAAGCGTCCTTTTATGCTGATCGCCTTCAATATACTGTTTCTTTAGAGAAGTGCCGTCTTTCGACAAATAAAACGCAGTATACAGAGTGAAAGAGGCAATAATCATTGCCTTGAATATCTCTTAAACTAAATGAGATGTCAAGAGTCCATTTCTTCGAGGTTGTTATGGTGGCTAGGGAGACGCATTAAAAAACAAATAAAAAAAATCTAACGTCAGATCCGGTGAACAAGCCACTACATCTGAAGATATGCGACAGAGAATTATTATAGCATGTTCAACAGTTCTGAAGTTATAAAAAATGCAACTAAATCAGCAACTCAAAGATTACAATATTGCAATGCTCATTACTTCGAACACTCCCCTACTGTAAACTGTTTATCTTCTAATCATTAATAAAATAGTTTTGGCATAATTGAATTTTACTGACTTTAAATGACCTTATGTCATAGATCATTGTATTTTTCTTAAGTAGCCGCTATCAAAAAGTAAAAATACACAAACATAACATTCCATTCAAAAAAACGTGATCTTTATTTCATTTTAATACACTTAAGGTCAAATTATTTTTTATCCAAATGCGTCCCCTTCGCCATTATATAATCTTGAAGAAACTCGATATGAAGGGTTCAGAGAAAAAGTGGATCAAGTTTTTTTTTTTAAATTCATATATAAGTTAGAAAAAACTGAACAGTCTTCTTGAATGATTTAAAAGCGAGTGCAAATGCTTAAGTTAAAATTAACTTGAAGGAAACTACAGCACCTATGAAAAACAGTGTACATGTTGCACACAATTAGAACAACTTTAACTTTAGAACTAATCTTCCGACAATCAACAAAAATAGACTCGATCCACTTTTCCTCTGAATCCCTCATATCTCACTTAATTTAAAAGATATTCAAGGTGTAAATAGTTATCGCCTCACCCTGTGTATATATATCGTAGTTCATAGAATACGAAATGCATTATTCATTCTTTATACAGAAACTTTTAGCGGAAATCATAAATGTAGCAAGTTCAGTACGAATAAGTGTGAATGAAGAGTTAACTTGAAAAGTGCCGCGCTAAAGTTTATTTTCCACCGCATTTA